AAACTAAACAGCACACCTGCTGAGCAACCAAGGAATCAAAGAAGAAATCAGAAGGGAATCAAGAAATAGTTCAAAACAAATAAAAATGGGAACACTACACATCAAAACCTATGAGATGCTACAAAAGCAATTCTGAAAGGGATAATTATAGAGATAAAACCATATATTAAGGAAATAGAAAGATCTCAAATGAGCAATCTAATTTTATACCTCAAAGAATTAGAAAAAGAACAAACTAAGCCCAAAGTTAACAGAATGAGGGGAATAACAAAGATCAGAACAGAAATTAATGAAATAGACATGAGAAAGACAATAGAAAAGAGTAACAAAACTAAGAGCTAGCTTTTCAAAAAGATAAAATAGACCAGTCTTTAGCTAGACTAAGAAAAAAATAAAGAAGATTCATAATTAAAAGAAAAAGTGAAAGAGAAGATATTACAACTGATACCATAAATATTCAAAGAGTCATAACGGACTAATATAAACAGTTGTGCTCCAACGTGTGGATAAGCTAGAACAAATAGGCAAGACTAAATCATGAAGAAATAGAAAAATATGAATAGATCAATAATGAGTAAGGAGTTTGAATCATTAATCCAAAACCACACAAAAGAAGAAAACCCAGGACCATATGATTTCACTGTTACATTCACCCAAATATTTAAAGAATAATTAGTGCCAATCCTTCTCAAACTCTTCCAAAAATTAAAGAGGAACAAACATTCCCAAATTCATTTTATGAGGCCAGCATTACTCTGATACCAAAGCCATATAGGGACACTGCAAGAAAGAAAAACCAATATCCCTGATGAAGAGATAGAAGCAAAAACTCAACAAAATACTAGCAAAAAGCATTCAACACCACGTTAAAAGGATCATACACAAAGAGGGATTTATCCCTGGGATGCAAGGATGGTTCAATATACACAAATCAATAAATATCATACACCTCATTAATGAATGAAAGATAATCCATTTCTTTGTGTCTTCTTCAGATTCTTTAATGAGTGTTCTATAGTTTTCCACATACAGATCTTTTGCCTCTTTGGTTAGGTTTATTCCTAGATATCTTATTGTTTGGATGCAATTGTTAGGGACTGACTCCTTAATTTCTCTTTCTTCCATCTCATTGTTAGTGTATAGAAATGCAACTGATTTCTGTGCATTGATTTTCTATCCTTCCACTTTGCTGAATTTCTGTATGAGTTCTAGCAATTTTAGGGTGGAGTCTCTTGGGTTTTCCATATAGAGTATCATGTCATCTGCAAAGAGTGAGAATTTGATTTCTTCTTTGCCAATTTGGATGCCTTTTATTTTTGTTGTTGTTATTGTCTGATTGCTGAGGCTAGGACTTCTAGTACTATGTTGAACAGCAGTGGTGACAGTGGACATCCCTGCCGTGTTCCTGAACTTTGGAGAAAAGCTCTCAGTTTTTCTCCATTGAGATTTATGTTCTCCATTGGCTTTTCATATATGGCTTTTTTGATATTGATGCATGTTCTTTCTATCCCTACGCTGTGAAGAGCTTCAACCAAGAAAGGATGCTGTACTTTGTCAAATGCTTTTTCTGCATCTATTGAGAGGATCATATGGCTCTTGTCCTTTTTTTTTTTTTATTAATGAGGCATATCACATTGATTGATTTGTGGATGTTGAACCACCTTTGCAGCCCAGTAATAAATCCCACTTGGTGATGGTGAATAATCATTTTAATGTACTGTTGAATCCTATTGACTAGTATCCTGATGAGAATTTTTGCATCCATGTTCATCAGGGAAATTGGTCTATAATTCTCCTGTCTGGTGGAGTCTTTCTCTGGTTTTGGGATCAAGGTAATGCTGGCCTCATAGAAAGAGTTTGGAAGTTTTCCTTTCATTTCTGTTTTTTGAAACAACTTCAGAAAAGTAGGTATTAATTCTTCTTTAAATGTTTGGGAGAATTCCCCTGGGAAGTCACCTGGCCCTGGAGTCTTGTGTGTTGGGAGGTTTTTGATTACTACTTCAATTTTCTTGCTGGTAATGGGTCTGTTTTTATATTCTCTTTCTTCCTGTTTTAGTAGTTTATACATCTCTAGGAATGCATCCATTTCTTCCAGATTGCCTATCTTATTGGGTATAGTTGCTCATAATACGTTCTTATAATTATTTGTATTTCTTTAGTGTTGATTGTAATCTCTCCTCTTTCATTCATGATTTTATTTTATTTTTTTGGAGGGTGGGGTCCATTCTCTTTTATTTTTGATAAGTCTGGCCAGAGATTTATCAATTTTATTAATTCTTCAAAGAACCAGCTTTTAGTTTTGTTGATATGTTCTACTGTTCTTTTGGTTTCTATTTCATTGATTTCTCCTCTAATTTTTATTATTTCTCTTCTCCTGGTGTGTTTAAGTTTTATCTGCTTTCCTTCTCCAGCTCCCATAGGTGAAAGGTTAGGTTGTGTATATGAGATCTTTCTTGTTTTTTTGAGAAAGGCTTGTAATACTATATACTTCCCTCTGAGGACTGCCTTTGCTGCATCCCAAAGGCAAGAGAAACAAAAACAATAATGAACTATTGGGATTTCATCAAGATGAAAAGCTTCTGCACAGCAAAGGAAACAGTTAACAAAGCCAAAAGGTAACCTATAGAATGGAAGAAGATATTTGCAAATGACACATCAGATAAAGGGCTAATGTCCAAAATCTACAAAGAACTTATCAAACCCAACACTCAAAGAACAAGTAATCTAATCAAGAAATGGGCAGAAGACATGAACAGACATTTCTCCAAAGAAGACCTACACATGGCCAACAGACACATGAAAAAAAAATACTCAGCATCAGGAAAATGCAAATCAAAACCACAATGAGATATCACTTCATATTAGTTAGAATTGCTAAAATTAACAAGTCAGGAAATGACAGATGTTGGTGAGGATGCACAGAAAGGGGAACATGCTTACACTGCTGATTGTAATGCAAGGTGGTGCAGCCATTCTGGAAAACAGTATGGAGGTTCCTGATAAAGTTAAAAATAAAGCTACCAGGGGCAGCCCGGGTGGCTTAGTGGCTTAGCACCACCTTCAGCCCAGAGCCTGATCCTAGAGACCCAGGATCGAGTCCCACATCAGACTCCAAGCGTGAAGCCTGCTTCTCCCTCTACCTGTGTCTCTGCCTCTCTCGCTCTCGCTCTCTCTCTCAAGAATAAATAAATAAAGTCTTTTTTAAAAATAAAATAAATAGAGCTACCATATAGCCTAGCAACTGCACTACTGCATATTTACCCCAAAGATACAAATGTAGTGATCCAAAGGGACCCGCACCCCAATGTTTATAGTAGCAACGTCCACAACATGGAAAGAGCCCAGATATTTATTGTCAGGTGAATGGATAAAAAAAAATGTGGTGTATATATACAATGGACTGCTACTCAGCCATCAAAAAAATTAAATCTTACCATTTGCAATGACATGAATGGAACTAGAGGATGTTATAGTAAGCAAAATAAGTCAATCAGAAAAAGGCAATTATCATATAATCTCACTCATGTGGAATTTAAGAAACAAAATAGAGGATCATGGGGAAGAGAGGAAAAAGTAAAACAAGATGAAATCAGAGAGGAAGACAAATAATAAGGGACTCCTAATCTTATAAAACAAACTGAGGTTTGTTGGAGGGATGGGGTAGGGGATGGTGTAACTGAGTGATGGACATTTAGGAGGGCACGTGATGTAATGAGTACTGAGTATTACATTTGACTGATAACTCACTGACCTCTACCTCTGAAAACATTATATGTTAGTTAAATGAACTTAAATAAATTTTTTAAAAATGAAAGATAATCATGTGAACATCTCAATAGAAGCAGAAAAAAGCATTTGACAAAATACAATATCCTCTTAGGATAAAAACCCTCAACAAAATGGGTATGGAAGGAATATACCTCAGCATAACAATGGCCATAGTTGATAAGTCCACAGCTAACATCATAACTCAGTGGTGAAATGTAGAAAGCTTTCCCTCTAAGATAAGGAAGAATAAAAGGGTGCCCCCTCACATCACTCTTATTCAGCATAGTCCTTGAAGTCCTACCCAGGGAAATCAGGCAAGAAACGGAAATAAACTGTATCTAATGCAAAAAAGAAGTTAAATTGTTTTTTGCAGATGATATGATTTTTTTATAAATTTATTTTTTATTGGTGTTCAATTTGCCAACATATAGAATAACACCCTGTGCTCATCCCATCAAGTGCCCACCTCAGTGCCCATCACCCAGTCACCCCCACTCCCCGCCCACCTCCCCTTCCACCACCCCTAGTTCATTTCCCAGAGTTAGGAGTCTTTCATGTTCTGTCTCCCTTTCTGATATATCCCACTCATTTTTTCTCCTTTCCCCTTTATTCCTTTTCACTATTTTTTATATTCCCCAAATGAATGAGACCATATAATGTTTGTCCTTCTCCGTTTGACTTATTTCACTTAGCATAATACCCTCCAGATGATATGATTTTATAAATAAAAATCCTAAAGACTCCACCCAAAATATATTAGGTCTAATAGACAAATTCAGTAAAGTTGCAGAATAGAAAACAAATGTGCAATCAGTTGCACTTTTATACAATTTCTTAAAAAGAATAAAGAAAATCATCTCATTCACAATAGCATTAAAGACAATACAATACTTAGGGCTAAATATAACCAAGGAGGTGAGACATCTGTACACTGAAAACTCTAAGACTTTGAAAAAGAATTGAAGGTGACACAAACAAATGGAAAGATATCCAATACTCATGGATAGAAAGAATTAATATTTTTTAAATGTCCATTTTACCCAAAGCCATTTATACATTCAGTGCAACCCCTATCAAAAAGACTATGTCATTTCTCATAGAACTAGAAAAAAATAATCCTAAAATTTGTATAGAATCACCAAAGACCTTGAACAGCCAAAGCAATCCTGAGAAAGAACAAAGTTGAAGGCATCATACTTCCTGATTTTTAACCTATACCACAAACCTAGCGTGTGCTGGCTTTGGCGGCACATAGAATTAAACTGGAATGATACAGAGAAGATTAGCATGGTCCTTGCACAAGGACACATGCAAATTTGTGAAGTGTTCTATACTACAAAGCTATTGTAATGAAAACAGTATGGTACTGGAATAAAAATAGACACAAAGACCAATAGAACAGGATCTTGAGCCCAGAAATGAATCCTCAAATCTATGACCAACTAATACTTGATACAGAAGCCGAGAATATACAAGGAAAGAATAGTCTCTTCAATAAATGGTTCTGGGAAAACTGAACAACTTCATTAAAGAAAATGAAATTGGACTTCACCCTGAACATCTGATCACCCCAATGTCTAATCAAACTCCTTGTCTTCCACCTTCCCCCATGTGATATCTCATCACCCTGGCCTGCCTGCAGCAATTAGTCTGTTTAGCCAGAATCATCCTTACCACTGATGTTTCTTCTTAGCAATTTTTAAAAGGATTTTATTTATTTATTCATGACAGGCACAGGGAGGGACACAGGCAGAGACACAGGCAGAGGGAGAAGCAGGCTCCACGCAGGGAACCCGATGTGGGACTTGATCCCGGGTCTCCAGTATCATGCCCTGGGCCAAAGGCAGACGCTCAACTGCTGAGCCACCCAGGTGTCCCTTCTTAGCAATTTTCTACCCACTGACTTCCAATGTTCTTCTTGGCTATAAATCTCCATTTGTCCATGGTGTGTTCACAATTGAGCCTAGTTCTGGATTAGGTATCTTCCCCTATTGCAATAGTTCCTGAATAAAATCTGCTCTTACCACTTAAATTATCATCCAGTCCTGATTTTCTTTAATGATAGATGAAAAGTAAAAAGATAGAAAATGATACATCATACAAACGCTAAACGAAAGGAAGTGAGGCTATTTGTGTTGATATCAAATAACAATTACTTCAGAACAAGGAAAGTTAAAAATGATTAAAAAAGGTCAACCCATGAATGATACACAATATAAAATGTGTCTTTATCTAAAAATGGAACTTCAAAATATATAAAGCAAAACCTGCTCTAACTGAAAAGAAAAACAGAAATATCCACAATGACAGTTGGTGACTTTAACACTTCTTTCTTGGTAATTGATACAAAAGGTAACAGACAGCAAAGATATGGAATATATATTAAAATTGGACATCACCAAGATCAAAGACTTCTATTCTGCAAAAGACATTAAGAGAATAAAAAGACAAGCCATAATCCAGGAGAAAACCATTGCAAATGGCACACCTAAACAAAGAATTGCATCCAAAAGGTATAAATAACTTTCAATCACCAGTAATAAGAAAGCAAACAACCCAATTTTTTTTTATATAAATTGCCTTTTCTTTTTTTTTTTTAAGGATTTTATTTATTTATTCCTGAGAGACACACAGAGAGAGGCAGAGACACAGGCAGGGGGAGAAGTAGGCTCCCTGCGGGGAGGGACTCGATCCCAGGACTTTGGGATCACAACCTGAGTCAAAGGCAGATGCTCAACCACTGAGCCACACAGCTGTTTATTGCCACAAACAACCCAATTTTTAAAAATGGGCAAATGATTTGACAGTTCACAAAAGACAAATGAATGTCAAATAAATATATGGAAAGATGCTCAAACATCATTTGTCACAGGGATTAAGTGTAGTAAGAGTTTCGGTGGATCCTCAAAGTGAAATAATGTTCATTCGGCTACAGAGTTTAAGTATTAGAATAACAAAATGTGAAAATACCAGAAGAAACTCCATGTCTTGCAGTAAAACATTTACAACTTTCCTTTCACTTTATGTTGTAAAAAAGAAACAATAGGAATGTCTTAGAATGTCTTAGTCAAGTTTTAAAATGAAAATATGTGAAATATTATATCATTGTGCTTTCTCCTATTTTATGTGTGTTTGTTATGGATACGTTATTACCATCACCAAAATAAAGATAGAATATAGTCAGTTTTAAAATGAGAATATGTGAAATATTACATCTATTTTTATATATGTGTGTTGGTGATCTATCATTACCACCTCTAAAATAAGGATGGAGTAGCAAATAAAGTCAAAGTTGCATTTTTCTTTATGCTGTTGAATAAAGAAGAGTATACTTGATATAACAACAGAGTATGTGAAATCTAGAATCTGAGAGTTCTAATAATTTCCAAATATTTCTGCTGTTTGGATATTCAGAACACTTTTGCTAGGGAGAATTCATTCTCAATCAATGTCTGACAATGTTTAGATCATACCAAAGAATTATTTTCAGTTCTAATACCCTGCACTGGTATATTGTACAGATAGAGTGTATAGTAGCTTTAAAAAAATCTACAAGCAATCATCAATATATAAAATAATTCTGAACATAAAAGAATCACCTTGTCTTTAGCATATAATTTTTAGCAATTAATAACTAATATTAGACACAATCTATTCTAGGCACTTTGGCAGATGAGTGAAATTAATTATCTGTATGAATCACTTCAACACACGCATCAAGTAGATGGTATTTTTGTTATATCAATTTTATCTGTGAGAAAATTAGGGTTGAAGAGTGTTGTTCAGGGTCATACAATTAGTAGCAATCGAACTGTGAGCAGCTGAATATATATACAAAATACTTAGCATCATACTCCTTCTGAGAGCAAAAGCTTAGTGAATAGGAGGATTTTAAAAATAATTTTAAATGATTATTTTTATACTCATTTTTTTAAATCACTACTAAAATCTCATTTATTTAGATACAATTTGGATAAATGATTGCAAGTATCTCTTGACAGCATTGTTTGTGACAGCAAATTTAACAGAAGGATTGTATTTAAGGGGGAATATTTTGTAGTTAATCTGTTAGTTGACCTCAGAAGATCTATGAGGAAAGCAGATGCATTTCCAGAGGTTTCCAAGGAAACAAGTCCTTGATTAGAAAGGAAAGAATTAAATTCTGTGGCTCTGGCAAGAGTAGAGACTGGAAATGTTATTATAGGCATACCTCATTTTGCTGTGCTTTGCTTTATTGCTTTTTTTTTAAACAAATGTTTGTGGCAACCCTGTATCAAACAAGTTTATAGGCACCATTTTTCCAAAACCATTTGCCCACGTTGTGTCTCTGTGTCACACTTCGGTAATTCTCACAATATTTCAAGCCATTTGATTACTATTACATTTCTTAAGGTGACTTGTGATCAGTGATTACAACTCTCTGAAAGCTCAGATGATGGTTAGCATTTTAGCAATAGAGTATTTTATTTTATTTTATTTTATTTTATATTTTTTGCAATATTTTAAATTGAAGTATGTACATTGGTTATTTTAGACATAATGCTATTGCACACTTAATAAGATATAGTATGGTGTAAACATAACTTTTATATGCACTAGAAAACCAAAACTTTCATTCGACCCACTTTATTACAATATTCACTTTATTGCAGGGATCTAGAACCAGACCCACAATTTCTCCAAGGTGTATGCCTATAGTATTGTTACAAGATCACTTGATCCTTTGCTAAAAGTAAATAAATGAATTACATACTCCCTTTTCTGCATGCTTTCTTTCTATTCTTGTACTGATTTTTTTCTAAATTAGAAAAATACTAAAACATGTGTACTGATACACTTTTATTATCTTCACATCTATACTGCCTTCTTCTCTAACTTTCCATTTTAAATGTCATTCTAGTACAAAAATTTGTACCTTCACATAATGGGAGATACAGGGAACACTTCTGAATCTTCTTCATGATTTTTTAACTCAAACATTCCACTCCTTACTTTCAATGTTGTAAATGAGCTTAATGGAAGAAGAGCTGGCTAGCTAATATCTAATTATAATGACATAAATAGTAACATTAGCATCACCTCTGCTTTCCTGCAGTTACTCACCAGGTACCTTCTGTGACCTCTTGTCCACAGACAATAGGTCATTGATTTGTAATGACTGCCATTAATTAAAAAGGCTGGAGCTTTGTTTCTTAATCTCCTTTAGAGTAAATGCCCCATGTTAATTGCCTTACATTTTTGTACTGGTTAATTGTCCTTTCTTTTCAAAATATGGCAAAGTAAAATTGCATCCTAGCCAAAAAAAAATTATCTTCAGCAGAAATTACTGGCTTAAACTGTTAAATATTTCATAAGCTATCTTATTATCCTGGCTAGTTTGCCATTAAGTGTTAAGTGTATAGAAAATATCAACAAAACATAAACAAAATCTCCCTTTTTACAGTATGTGATATATTCAATACGGCTTCAATGAGTCCTTTCTGTATTATTCTCTTCAATTTCTATGCCAAAGAGGAAAACAATAGATCACACTCTGAGTTCTAAAAGTTGTCAAATATTAGCATCTCTAGATTTCTTCCTCCTATGAATCTAGTTTTCTCTCCTTGAGATTCACGTTCCTCGTGAAAAAAAAAAATCGACTTTCTGTTTGAAAATGGTGTCTGACTAGAGGCTCCTTTTATGGTACCAACATACTCTCTGCCATCCATACCATCCAGAAACTTGGAAAGACATCTCCCTATCCCCCACCCTACATTGACACTTGCTTTTTGGGGTTGCCAGAGTACTTGCTTAATCCCAGGAAACAAAAGAGCCCAAAGTGAAAATGTGGAAAAGAAAGAAGGAGACCACTGATCACAAAATGCAATTGAGGGCAGAGTCTTCCTCAACCAGCCAAGAGAAGCGGGCAGAGCCAAGAAGGGAGGAAAGAACTCTGGAGTCTCAGCATACTGTGTATTCTTTGTACTCAGAGTTACAAAGGTCCCACCTCAGAATTGCTAAATGAGAGTCTAGGAGAAATTTACTTAATACTGCCCACAGACACGATCCTTTTTCTTGATTTCTAAGAAAGAAATTTCAGCAAGGCTCATAGAGGCAGTGAGCTATTTAAAGAGCAGTCTACACTACCCATCTCCTCTAAATACCTCATCTTGCTAAAGCACTCCTCCATCAAAAGTTAATGATATTGGAGCACTATGCAAAAATACCTCAAATCAAAGGAAAGAACTCAGTTTTAAGAATAGTGTGAAATTAATTAATGGGATGGTGGATGTGTTTTTTAAATTGACTTGGTAATAAAGATAAAGCCAAATATTTAACTTTTTTTTTTTTAAAACTGT